TCTGTGTGTATGCATGTTGGCATGCATGTATGCATGTCTCTCTGCATGTCTGCATGTGTGTATGCCTGCATGCCTGCATGCATATATGTGTGTTACTGTTTGTAAACATGTATACATGCGGATACGTATACACCGCCTGTATGTCTGCATGGTTGTATGCAAGTCTGTATGTTAATATGTCCATGTGCGTGGATGTACAACTATGTGTGCATATGTGTGTGTGGATGTGTGCGTGTGCGTTCTTGTGTGCTGTATGTATATTTGCGCGGTTGGATATAAGGATGTATGTACGACTGCATGCGAGCATGTCTGCATCCACGAATGTCTGCCTGCCTGCCTGTCTGTAGGTACGTGCGTGTGTGTGTGTGTATGCATGCACGTTTGCATGTATGCATGTATAACTCCATGTATGTACATATGAAGTATGCATGTACGTATGTATGCATATGCGGGTGTATGTGTGCTTGTATGTTTGTATGCATGCATGCATGCATGCATGCATGCGTCACTGCCTGTATGATATATGCACGTGTGAACGCAGGTACGCATGTGTCGGTGTATGGATGTATGTAGGTATACGTGTACATATATGTATGCACGTGTAGATGTGGAGGTATGCATGCATGGATGTATCGTTGTACGTGTTGTGCGTATGCATGCATGCATGCACACATGAATGGATGTACGTGTGTGTTTGTGTGTAGGTATGTATGTCTGCCTGTGTGTGCATGTATGTATGTATGCATGCATGTATAAATGAATGTATGTATGGATGCATGCATGTCTGTATGCATGCATGTATGAATATACGCATGTATGCACGCATGCATGCATGCATGCATGCACATGCGGATGTATGCATGTTTGAGAGAGCGTGATCCACCGCCGCTTTACTGTGGAAAATGCCGCCCCCTCTTCCTCTGGAACCCGGGGTTTCCCCCCCCCCCACCCCCCCAAACATCCCCCTTTCTGCTGGACCCCCCCCCCCCCCCTTCCCCCAGCAAAAGGGCCCCCCCACCCTCCCAAACCCCCCCCTCCTCCGGGGAAAACAAAATCGGGGGGGGGTCACTACCGGTTCGAACCCCCCGCCCCCCCCCCCTCCAGAAACCGGGGGGGGGTCACTACCGGTTCGACAACCCCCCCCCTTTTCGAAAACCAGGGGCATCACTACGGGTTCGAACCCCTCCCCCCCTGTCGAAAAACCGGGGGGGATCACTGACACTTGGTTCGAACACCCCCCCTCGAAAAAACCCGGGGGGGTCACTACCGGTTCGAACCCCTCCCCCCCCCCACGCTCACCGCCAGCATACAATTCTGGGTCCCTACCACCGTCCGCACCACATCCCCCACTGCTGTCCCCAGCACCACTGTCCTCACCACCACTGTTCCCACTGTTCCCACCACCGTCACCACTCTCCTCACTAATGCCCCCACCACTGTCGCACTGTCCCCACTGTCCCACACTGTCCCCGCTGTCCCACTGTCCCCGCTGCTGTCCCACTGACCTGTCCCACTGCTCCCACCACCGTCCCCACTGTCCCCACCTCTGTCCCTACTGTACCTCTGTCCCATTATCCCACCGCCGTCCTCGCCACCGCCCTCACCACTGTCGCCACCACCGCTGTACCCTCCACTGTCCCACTGTTTCCACCACATTCCCACTGTTCCCACACCACTGTCCCCACCACCACTGTCCCCCCCCCACCACTGTCCCACTATCCCCACTGTTCCCACCATTGTCCCCGCTGTCCCCACCAGTGCACCCCACCAGTGTCTCACTGTCCCCACTCTCCCCACCTTTGTCCCACCACGGTCACACTCTCCCCACTTTCCCCACGGTCCCCACCACTGTCCCACTGTCCGCACTGTTCCCACCACTGTCCCACTGTCCCCGCCGCTGTCCCACTGTGCTGTCCCACCGTCACCACTGTCCCCATCACTGTCCCACCGTCCCCACTGTCCCCACCACTCTCCCCACTCTACTACTGTCCCACCACTGTCCTCACCACCGCCTTCACCACTGTCCCACCACTGTCCCACTGTCCCCACCACTGTCCCGCTGTCCCCTCACAATTGTCCCCACCACCACCGTCCCCACCACTGTCCGCACCGCTGTCCCACTGTCCCCGCACCACTGTCCCCACCACCACCGTTCCCACCACTGTCCCAACATCCCCATCATTCTCCAACTGTCCCGAGGAGCAGGCATCGTTTGGCGGCGGCGATGGGGGGGGAGGGGAACCGGTAAGGACCACCCCCGGTTTTCGAAGGGGGGGGTTCGAATCGGTAGTAACCCCCCCCGGTTTCGAAGGGGGGGGGTCGAACTGGTAGTGACCGCCCCCCCTTTTTATGATGGACTGGGGGGGGGGGGTCCGAACCGGTAGTGACCCCCCCCTGGTTTTCGAGGGGGGGGGACGGTTAGGAACCCCCAGTGATCCCCCCAGTTTTCCCCCAGCAGCAGTAGAACACGCTCTTTCGAATATTTGTCTGTGTGTATGCCTGTATGTGTATGCCTGTGTGTAGGCATGCACGTAGTGTATACATGAGTAAAACTATGTGTGCCCCCATACACACAACCTCAACCCAATGGGAGGATATAAGGGCCCTCGCGGGGCTGTCAAGCCCTCAAAGAGCACCTCGGGATGGCAACGTGGTCGCAGCAGAGGGCCCGAGACCGCTGGGGGGCCCACGCTGCCAAAAAGCCACGGCGCCGCCGGAGCTCTGGGGAGGGGGCAGGAACCTCGAGCTGAGGAGGAGGAGGAGGAGGAGGAGGAGGAGGAGGAGCTGGGGGGTAAGACGGCGCCTGACCACCGGAGCGCAGCCTGACCACATGTGGACGCCGCCTAAATGTTATCGTCCAGTGGGCGCGCGAAGAGTGGTAGCGCTCTCGAGACGGCCGCGGACCCCGAGATCACCAGTGGGGCAGTGCAAAGGGGGGTCACCACTAGGGGGGTCGCCACTTCCTCGAGGAAACGCCACTTCCTCGAGACTTCCTCGAGGAACTGTGCCCCCCAGAGCCCCGAAAACGCGAAGAAACGTCCAAGAACATCCTTGACCCCTCGACTCTCCATCCTGGAACCTCGATTTCCAGGAGAAGCTGGCGACCCCCCCAGTGGTGACCCCCCTTGGCACTGCCTGAACCAGACCTGCTCAGAAGCGTTCCGAGACTCTTGAAGGATGCAGTGGCCCTAGTATCTTCAGCTCGTGTGGAACATGAGGGAATCGAGAATGCTGGAAATCTTGGGAATCTGGTAACGTATCCTGCTCATGACCTGCCTTTGGCGGCGCGCACAGGTGGCAGCGCTGGGGGGAAGGCCTTCTTACAAGGCCTCCCACCTCGCGCCGCCCCCCGGTGCGCGCCGCCGACTGCTTCGCGGCGCGACGCACAATCACGACGGAAGGCTTTGGGCTGCTGGGGGCCTCTGGGGGCCCTTTCCCTGGCGCCCCCACGACTGTCAACAAGAAACGGCTCGGCCATGACCAATTTTGTGGGTCGGCGGGTCGGGAGCGGGCCCCTTCCTAGTTGGGGAGACGGGCGGGGCGCGCGAAGCCCTAATTGGGGAGACAGGGCGCGGGCGGGCGGGGCCTCAGGCGGCCGGAGGGTGCAGCGCTCGGCCATGAACAACCGAGGAGTCTCTGTGTCCAGCGGCCTGGAAGATCGATGCGCCCTGATCTTCACCCTCTTGGGCCCCTGCAGGCCTGCCACGGCCAGGAAGGCCGTGGGAAAACACGACTCAACATGACGTCGGGCTGCATACCCGGGGGCCTTGTCTGTTCCGTGGCGCCGCGATCCACGTCGACTCCGTGTCGAATCCGTGTCGAGCGAGTCTAGAGGAACGAGGAGCGGCATAACATGACCTTTCAGCGCTCCGCGCGGAGCTCTTGCCCTTCCCGGACGCGCGGAGCGCGCCAGGGGGCCCCCGGGGCGGACCCAAGAGATCCGTGCGGAGCGCCAAAAAGTTTATGTTTAGAGTCGGGGCGCCGACCCAAAGGAACCCTGGACAAGGAACGAGGCCCCTTTTCTTTCCAGTATGCCGTCCGCGTTGGCTCCGCACGACGAGCCAGCCCCGGCGACGGGACCGCGAGCCTCGGTGCGGGGCCGTGGCGCCGCCGGACCACTCTGGCGAGGGAGACCACGATCGAGGGGGAACTGGCGCGGTGGCTGTACCGAAGCGTTGTTGTGCGTGCCGTGTTCGGCTTGTGTCTCGTGCTGCTCGGCCCGTTCTCCTGCACCTCCCTGCCAAAACGAAGTACAACACACAGCCGAGGTCCGGGAAAACAGCGCTCAGGTCCAGCCCTGGGGCACGCCTCGCCCTGGAATCGGCGAGGCATCGGGCGATAGATCGGCGATAGTCCCCGGATCGTGAGCCCCCGCGCTCCTGGGCAGGCGGGGGCTCTCGGGCCCCTGTCGGCGATCCGTGAGCGATGGGCTGCCGCTGCTCGGCGGCGAGCGAGGGGAAGTGAGAAGGAGAAGGCCCTCTCAGAAGGCGGCGGGACTTCTCAGAAGCCCTCGCGCCTCCTCAGAAGCCTGTTGTGTCTTCCGGGGAGGCTTAAGGCTTCATAGGAGCTTCTCAGAAGGCCCCGGGGGGCTTCCGAGCGTTCTGAGAAGGCCCGCTACTTCTCACTTTTCCCCCCCTCGGTCGCCGCCGAGATGCATCCCCCGCTTTGCCTACACTTCGGTCGGATCAAATTGGTAGAAAGATATAGTAAGGTGTAATTTGGAAACAGGTTTGGTTTCCGCCCGCCCCCTGAAGCGGAGGGAAGAGGGAAAACCGCTCGCCTCTTGAAGCAGGAAGCAGCCTGCACTGCAGCAGATTGGGATCGGGGAATCCAGAAATACAGACTTTCAACGACCGGCGTATGTATCGTCGCCCCTGCTCTGGGGAGGTTGTAGCCGCAGAGCCGAAGGTTCACAAGGACTGGCGCCACACACCTCGCTCTCGCTCGGACGTCCATTCGCCGTGCATGTGTTGGTTTCGTGTGCGTACTTTTCCGCAGGATCACCTCGACTGCTCCTCGATGGTCCTTGTCGAAAGAAACTGCACACGTCCGAGCAATGCCAAGACTCTGTACATCTGCGACGAGGGCAGCCACGTCCCCTCCGCGGACTCTCCCGACGTGCTACCCGCTGTGAAGAAAGGCGGCAAGGATCCCAATGGCGTTCGCCGGGAGCAAAACGAGGCAAGGACGAGGAGGTAAGCGTTTTCTTATTCGGAGTTTCGGCATTGGGCGGAGGGTGGAAAGGGGGGAGGTCTGGCTCTGGACCTCTGCTTAATGCGACTGTTTGTAACAGTGCGTCCTATGGAGGAGACCCCACCTTCTCGAAATAGGCGCCCAAAACAGCCAAAACAGGGAATAAGAAAGCAGTCACGAGAACATCGGGTGAGAGTAGATTGAGAATCTCTCGCCATCGGACGCGTTTCTCATGGCGTGGGCTGCGGAGGCCAGGGCCAATAGCGCATACCCCCCCCCCAGGCCTCGAGTCAGGAAAACATCACGACGGGAGATGGTTCGCCCTTCTGGGGCCCTGCCGGGGCCTCGGGAGCGTCAAGAGACGACTCGGGAGGAAAAACTGGCCCTGGGGATCAAAAGCCGCCCTGGCTGTCCAGGCAAGGGCAGGGATGACTGGGGCCTGGCTTTTTGCATGAGGATGCTCGTAAGAGCCTGGGCGTTCGTTGAGCAGGGACCGACCGCCCAGGCATTCCTATAGCCTATAGGCATACCACGACATGGTCTCAGAACCCCCAAAAATGTGCACAACAAGCAATTTCTTAGAACGTAAAGCCGATGTGTTAAGACAAGACTGTCCCAGCCAGACACGTTCTAAGAACCTTTCGTCTAAAACACAAACCATTATTAGGACATTGTCTGGTGGGCAGATAGGCAGGGCCGGACGCTTCGCCACTGCTTGAGGGATGCGAGCAGCAGCATGCACGCAACATCATCCACCATGCGGCAGGAGGCCACGCCACTTTCCAGTCGAGCCCGCCTGACGAAAGGCCTCTGCGCGGCGACACAGCTCGAGCACGGGAACAAACAACTGAACCATCCCAACTCTCGGACTGACCAGGCTACACGCCAGAGTGACCCTAGGCCAGAGTGACCTCTGGTGCGCAAGTTTAGGGGGGGCGCGACGGGGCAAAGACCCAGCGCGCAAGCCTAAGACATCGCATCTTGTTCAGCGATCGGGGGGGCCCCGTGGGCCCGCACCAGAGGTCACTCCAGCGAAGGGTCACTCCTACGTGCATTCGACTGACTCGTCCCCCACCCGATCGGAAGAACTGTCAGGACCCATGTGCTGTAAGCCCCGCCCCCACGATGCTGACGAGGATGGCGGCCAGCAACGCCTGCCGCACCCGGCGGGCGGGGCCAGCCCTAGTACCCAGCGGGCGCCTGACTGCACTCCGGGGGCTGGCGGCGGAAGTTGTAGCCGTGGAGCCACAGGTTCATCCCGAGCTTGGTGAACTCGCCGCGCTCGCCGCGCGCGTTTGTGCTCTTCTCGGCGGCGAGCGAGGGGGGGTGGTGAGAAGGAGGAAGCCTTCTCAGAAGGCGGCGGGTCTTCTCCAGGGCCCTCGCGCCGTCTGGGAACTGTTCTGTGTCTTCCGGGAAGGCTGCGGAAACCTCTCAGAAGCCGGGGGACTCCCCGAGCCCTCTGAGAAGGCTCGGGGCTCTCCCCCCCGGGCTCGCCGCCGATCTTCACCGGGAGGGCCGCGTGCTTGACCCGGGAGTCCCTGCTGCGGGGGTCGTCCGCCCTGACATTGGTCCAGAGCAGGGCGCTGCCCGCCCTCGGGGGGACCGTGAGGTTCAGCTTCGGGAAGCTGGTCTCGCCGCCGAAGCCGTCGGGCACAGTGCTGAGGTACACGAACAGCGTGTAGATGCGGTGGCCTGGCGCCGACGAGCCCATCTGCTCGTTGGTATCGTGGTGCTCGCGGTAATACGTGCCGCTGACGTACCTCACCATCTGCATGTACTCGTGGTTGGGACGGCTTGGAGGCGGCCGGGGATCTGAGCTGGAAAAGCCCAGAAAGGATCCGTCAAGAAGGGGGGGGGAGAAGGTACGCCCACTCAAAATCTGTCCCTAGACCCCATACAAGGGAAAACAAGGAAAACAAGCTGTTCGAGCCGCGCGCAGGGGTGTCGACGACGAGGGCCCACCCTGCACCCGGCCTGCTGGCCAGAACCAAATGCTGGGCCACCTCAGCCCCAACAGCCGTCCCCAAGAGAACGCCAAGGCCTGTGATGTTCATGGCCACCAAGTGCGCGTTCCGGACCCGAATGTCCACCTGATGACGACAAGAAGAGGATCTCGCGCCCGATGCCATAGCGACCTCACGCCGCGACTTACGCGCGCCGCCAGCGCGCCACGCCACACCGGAAGCGAGGGCTCTTACGCGCCACTTCGCGCGGAAAACTTACGCGCCAATGCGGGCGCAGTCGGGGAGGCACGAACTGGGCTCAGCGTAAACCCAGCGCTCAGATCAGCCACTTTAAGAACATTGGCGGCGCGCAGAGGGGTGTAGGGGGGGTGGGGGGAAGGCTTCTTAGAAGCAGGCTGCTTCCTAGAAGGCGCGGGCCATACATCTGTAGAGAAGGTCCGCGCCTCCTAAGATGTAGGGGTGCTTCTAAGAAACCTGACCTCCTCCCTCTCCCCCCCCCTCTGCGCGTGGCCGAGAAAAAACTGCGCTGCATTTCCTGGGGAGCGGCCCAAACCCGGCTCAGCCAAGACGTGAGGGCCAGCTCCAGGGCCACGAGTGGCTCCCAAACCTGGCTAAGCCCAAAGTCTGGCTTTGAAGGATCCTCCAGCATCCCTTTTTCTGGCTGAGCCCCGTTTGCGCTGAACTGATGGGCCCATTTTCCACCACCTCTGCCATTGGTAGGAGGGAGGAGGAGGAGGAGGAGGAGGAGGAGGAGGAGGAGGAGGTGGAGGACCAGTGTAAACCCGACAGTCATCAACGATGTTGGAATTAACCCTCTCCCCAAGCTCCCTCTTCATAGGCCCCTACAACTGCTCATTTTCAATGAGGGAACTGCCTCGTTGGAAGACAACCGTTTAAACACCCTGAAACATGCCATCACATTGTTCTCGTGATTTTCACGCCACGGGTCAACCTGAGTGCTGCGTCCTGACGACCTGGACTCGTGCCAGGACGCAACACTCAGGTTGATATCAACAGAACTGCTGCAATCGCATAATCCTGAATCCTTCGAGAACCCCATTTCTGGTACGCTGATCATGGGAGCACGTGAAAACTCTTCCATGTTTGTTTAAACGGATGTGCGCGGCGCTACCGCGAGAACCATATTCAGAAAAAGGACCGCCCTCATTCCGTGAAACTCTGGCAAATACTTAAAACGAATGTGCGCGGCGCTATGGCGAGAACCACATTTTGAAAACCACCCGCCCTCAATCCGTCAAACTTTTGCAAATGTTTGAAAAAATGTGCGCGGCGCTACGGCGCGAACTCCATTTTGAAAACCACCCGCCCTCAATCCGTGAAGTTCTTCTAATTCGTTTATACGAATGTGCGCGGCGCTAAGGCGAGAGCCAAATTTTGACAGCCACCCGCCCTGTATCTGTGAAACTGCTGCCTTTTTGTAAGCTCTAAAATCATACATGTTGAAGAAGTCTCAGGCGAAACGCCCGGCCCGCCCTAAAAACTGGACTCGGTGTGCGAGAGGGAGAAGTTATCCATAAGGAGAAAGGAATGGAGGAGGAGCTCATCCTCCCTTCTCCCCCATCCTACCGATGGTAGCGGTGGTGGAAAACTTGCCCATCGTGAGCCCCGCTACGTGCGCCCAGACGCAGTCGACCCCGCTTTCCCCGGCGCTCACCGAGCACTCGCCCGTGTTGCAGTGCAGGGACTCGGAGGTGCGGTGGCCCTCCCGGTGGACGCCTCCTGCCTCGTTGGAGAGCTCCCAGGGATATCGGCCGTCCTCCGCCACCGCGCGCAGATCATCAACCTGAGCGAAAAAAAGCAACGGTTCTTGCACGAGATGGCATGGCGACCTTGCGCGATGCTTTACGCGGGTCGCCGGCGCGGCAAGCTGCACTGGGAAAGAGGACATTCACGAACAATATTACGCGGGCAACTTGCGCGCGCATGTCCGCGCATTTGACCACGCGTTCTCCCGTCGCTGACTTGCTTCTCGGTCAGGAGCCTGCCGAAGTGCATGACCCACGGGTCGCGGGAGAGAACCTTTGGAGCTCGCCCAAAAAAGGAACGGCAAGTTCGCGTCGTGATGACTGTGGTGTCGGTTTCTGACGCCGCATGGATCGTTCAACCTTGAAAGATCGCCGGCTTTCCGATCGCCAGATCGTTCTGCAAGACCGACTGTAGGCCACCACCCGCGCTGGGCGTCGCATCTGCGACAACACGGCTCGAAACTAGCGGCTCTCTCTCTCTCTCTCTCTTTCTCTGTTTGCATATATGCGTGTATACATAAATGTATATGTTATGTGTGCGTGTGTTTGTATGGATCGATGTGTTCAATCTTTGCGATTTCTGTCCCCCCTTTCGGCCTCCGGGGTGGCCGTTGCCCTGAGGCCATCCGCACAACGATCTCTCTAATAGGGTGAACAACCGCCCCCCGGCAACAGTTTTAAGAGGGTCGAGGCCTCCGGGGGGGGCGTGCGCCGAGAAGCAACGCACCTCTTCGGACATCTGGAGCTGGGGTCGGATTGGGCGTCGCTTGCAGCAGTAAAGGCCTCCTAGATGGGGTCCGAGTAGATGGGGTCGGAGGATCGCACCGCATCGGCGATGCATTGGCGATGCATCGGCGATGCATCGGTGACGTCGGCGTGAAGAAATCGGGCTCCGCGTGGGGCGGCATCGTCGATTCATCGGCTATGCGATATCGGCGATCACATCTACTCCGACCCCATCTGGGGGGCCTGGAAGTAGGGGCCCGACCACAAGAGACTTTCTGCAGGAGTCCCAACCCTGAGACTCCAGGGCGTCCATGGATGTCTGGTGCGGGAACGCCACGGCTTCCAGAGCAAAACCACGGAAACCCAAGAAGCCCGGGGCACCCTGGAGGCCGTGCGTGTCTTGGCATGGATCTCCACTTTAATGGGGTGGCGAAACATGCGGTAAAAAAGGGGTCGAGGCCTCCGAGAGGGGGCCCGTGGGCCGAGAAGGAACGTACCTCGTCGGACGTCTGGGGATGGGGTCGGACTGGGCGTCCCTTCATGGGGGGGCTATCATAAAGTCATAAAGAGGCACAGGGACACACACACACACACACGCACTTGTTTGCGTCGGTGGCTAGGCAGGGTACCTGCGCTGGCGGAAGAGCTAACTAAACGGGGGGACCGCTGTAGCGAATTGTGCCACAAGGCAAGAGCGAAAGACCGGGAGCGCGGGCTGCTGAAGGGGCGGGAAGGAAGGTGAGGGCCGCGCGCACATACACACAAGCACACACAAACACTCACAGACACATGCACACGCACACACACACACACACACACACACACACACGCACACACGCACACACGCACACACGCACACACGCACACACGCACACACACACATATTCACTCACACTCACACTCACACTCACGCTCATTCTCACACTCACACTCACACTCTCACACACACACACACCGCACGCACGACACGCAGCAAGATCGCACGCAATGCACGCACGCACCGGCACGCACGCAAGCACACACACTCACACACACACACAACCACACACTCAACACACACGCATTCACGTCAAAAGTAAATGGACACAAAACATGTACAGTATTCCACTACATTTCCCATATCTTATGGTGTTCCCGTCCTTCCCCCACTTCCCCCCCCCCACACTGTCTAAAATCTTTTTCCTGTGGGGTCGACGATTCATTGTTCTGTATATCTCCCCTCCTGAATAAGGAGGAGACGAGGTTGCACTGCTCGGGCCCTCCGAGGTCCCCTTTGGAAGCCTTCAAGGGCCCTCAGGGGCTATCTTTTTCGGCAGGCCATCGTCCCCCCCCACGTAGATCGCCCCACCCCGTTAGACCGCCGGTGCATCGGGTGTGCGGGTCGTGATTTTCCCCTCCTCCTCCTCCTCCTCTTCCTCTTGCTCCTCCTCCTCCTCCTCCTCCTCCTCCTCCTCCCGCTCCTCCTCACCCATCCTCCTCCTCTTCCTCCTCCTCCTTTTCCTCCTCCTCCTCCTCCTCTTCCTCCTTCTCTGGGTGTCGTCCCCCCCCCCGACGTCGCCGAGGCATCGCCGAGGCCTCGGCGGTGCGGTGGGATCTTCCGACACACTTACCGACTTCGGCCCACGTGGGCGGCCTGGAACCTTCGGCTCGTACCTCTGAGCCCACTCACCCTGCTCGATGCGCCTGAACATCGTATCGATCGAGGTGGTCTGCAGCCCAGGCAGGGTCTCGACTCGGACGCACTTGACCTGTTCCTTCTTGACTCGGACGTCCCCTCCGAGCTTCTTCTTCTCCTTCTTCCCCTCTTTCCTGATCCTTCTCCTTTCTTCCCGATAGAGCTTGCAGAGCTTGGGGCAGGCACCCCACTGATCTGGCGTGCACACCTTCCCGAGACTCACACGCTGACAGCTCGCGTCTTTGTCGACGCAGTGGCCCCCGTGCAGCTGGCAGCTCTGGGCACAGTACCTCAGCATGAACTCGGGGTCCAGCTGGCACTCGCACGACCTCGCCCAAGCATTGCACCGGGTCTCGTCATCGGCACCTTCGCCGAGGCCACAGTCTGGACTTCCGGCAGGGCATGTCCCCTCGTCCTCCGCCCTGCAGCGCAATACCTCCTGGCTAGAGGAAGAGAAAACAGCACAAACATAAACTTTGGGAGGCCCGAGCGGACGTCTTGGATCGGCGATGGAACCCCATCCCTGGCGCGCGGATCGCGCCAGAGGCGGCGCCGAAGGCGCTGCGAGGGGGCCCCAGCGCGGATCCAAGAAATCTGCGCGGAGCTCCGAAAGTTCATATGACTGCAGTTTTCCTTCGTCGACTGGCAGCAATGCGGGGTGAGCACGAGCACGGCGAACTTCAGGGAACGCATCTCGCAATCTCGCCACAGAGCGCGCCCATCGCCATGCTGGGCCGGTGTGCTTGAGCCGGCGCCTCCCTCTCCTGCTTCCCCCACCGCCCCGCGCGTGGCGCCGTAAAACGGAAGGCAAGAATCGATGATCCTACGGAAGCGTGTCAGCGCCAGCGTGGGCTTGTCCAGCGAAGCCCTTCCAACTGGACCAGCCAGACCCACCGAACCAACCAGACCAACCGGACCAACCAGACCAACCGGACCACTCGGACCGGACCAACCGGACCAATCAGACCCCGGACGTGGGGGCGACTGCAGTCGCTTTCGGGTCATAACTCGGGTATCTGGCGGCCGTTCGGGACGATACGGGCAACCCCCGAACGCCCTCGGCGAGGCGCAGCTGCTGGAACGCACCCCAAAGCTGGAAAAACGCGGAGGACGCACGAACATGCACAAATCATTTTTTTCCCCAATGACCTCGACTGAAGGCTCGCTCGCTTTACGGGGACGAACGCGCTATCTCACGAGTAACCCGTGCACTCCGTGGCGATACGCGGCAGAGGCTGACAAGTGGCTATATTTACAACAACATCCCAGAAGTAAAAAAGCACAGGCCACACATGACAATGAGGGGTAATGGTGGGGGGGACTGGCATATGGGGGTATGCATCGACCTGGAATCGGCGATACATCGCCGATAGATCGGCGATAGGCCCCCGATAGTGAATCCGCACCTTGATGCGCAGCCTGGGGCTCTCGGGACCCTATCGGCGATCAATAGGCGATTGGGGGTCAATGCGTCCCCCCCTACATATGCCTATCCCCCCCTATCCTTGCCCCTGGAGAGGGCAGACAGGCGCAGACGCCCTAGCATCATGAACGACACGGGGCGACAGCCTGCACAAACCGTTTCCACGCGGACGT